TCGGAGATGAGGTAGAGGTTTCCCCCTTTGGGGTGGGGTTCATCAATGCTGGAGCTGCTGGTGGTGGTGGTGCTTGTGGTGCTTGTGGCTCGGAGCTCCTGCGTCATGTAGAAGAGGTGGTGGATTTGGGAGAAGGCTTGGTCGACGCGGCCGCCTAGGCCGCCTAGGATGAGGATTTCGAGTTGAGGTCGGGTTTGGGGTGGAGTTTGGGGGTTGGTGGGGGAGGTGGTAGCTGGATTTGCTGCTGCTGGTGTGGATGATGATGATGATGATGATGGGGTTGGTGCTGCTGCTGCTGCTGCTGCCGCCGCAGCAGTAGCGAGAATAGTCGCTGTGTTCCTTTGGATGTACTGCAGGCTCTTGTGGAAGTCCGTGCTGTAGTCGTCGATGTGTTGGATGACGGGGACGCCCAGGGTCTCGTAGTGCGTGCGGATCTCCGGGTGGATGGAGTCGAGGTCGCCGATTATGGCGCTGGGGAACTGTGGGGTTTCTGTTAGTTTTTGGGAGGGGGAGGGAGGAGGTTGTGGGGAGAGATGGAGAATAGGGGATGATGATGGGATATTTCTTGGTTTTGTTTACAGTAGGGAGGGGTGGAGGGGACGGATGTACTGATGATGTACGGTACTCACATCTGTAAATTCCCTCCCGCGGGCCTTCATCATCTCGTAGAAGCGGTTTGCGCCGCCGTCGGCGCAGACGGTGATACATGCTGCAATTCGTTATTAGCCAGTGGTCTTATAGCTTGGATGCTTGGGCTGCAGGGGGGGTGGGTGTAGATGATTGGACATGTGTAGCTTCAGGGGTCAAACAGTGGTTAGGTACTTAGTGGGTACCTAGGTAACTCACCATGTCGCTGTAGAACATCGTAGGCCTTTTCGTTGATGGGATGGTTGAGGATCAACAGGGCATACGGCGAGGAAGGGTATCCCTCGCGAAAGAATTGCGTGGGATCCCACTCTGTCACTGCCATGGGGGTTTTGAGTCGGTAGGGCAGGTCCATGGTATCTTTTTGTTCTTTCTGGTGTGAGACTGTCCTGGGAAGGTTGTTCGGGGTGTGATAGGGACCGGCGTTATCAAATGCGAATTTTGGAGACGGAGATGGGTAGTCCCCGTTCTTTTTTGCTTGCTCGTGTCCTAATATTTGGTTCTGTGTTTGAATCGTTGTCCTTGATAGTGGAGATGCAGACTCAGAGTATAGGGTTCGCATTCACGAGAGCATCTTCAGTCGGTACACTAAAAAGGTATTGTATGTAGTACACTTACTGTCGATCGATGGTCTGATCTGGAATGATCTCAACTGATAAGTTCAACCCCTCCCTCCTCCCTCTTCAGCCACAGCCACATGGCTGCGCCGATTGCGGGGTGTGGCGGGAGCCGGCAGAGGCTGACGACAGGCTGACTAACTTTACTACAGCAGCCGTTGTCATTGGCTCCGCTTCTCGTATTCCCCCCAAGCTTCGATCTGCTACACATCAGTAGACTTGCCCTTCAGTTTCTCACGATCTGCTTATAATGAACATCACAGGTGAGACTCAGCTCCGACTATGGTAGCCCGCAGCAAGGGCTGTGTACTCTGCGTGCAACGTAGAGTCAAGGTTGGTTCATCTTACTTCAGAACTAAACCATATCCACTGACTGTTGCAGTGCGATCAACGACAACCTGGATGTGCGAAATGCGAAACCTATGGAGAGCCGTGCCCCGGTTATGGTCCTCGCTTTAAATTTATTGCTGGGAAGCCATATCGCACTCAACGACGTCGAAAGTCAGGCTCTAATCAGGATGGCTCATCCCCCGAGTCACTCGCTGTAGTCCAATCCCAGCCTCTGCGGCAACGTACAAATCCGCTGTGCAATCTCTCATCCATGGCTTCGGCTGATATAAACTTGAGTCAGTGCCTTTGCGTCTTGACGCAGGAGATTTCTAAGCCATTTGCTGCGAACTCGGCGCATGTTACGTCTCGCTGGTTCGGGTTTCTGCCTACAGTGTACGGACGCAGTAGGACCTTGGACTTGACGATTAAATCCTTTACAGCGCATCAGATAGGTAACTTGACGAGTGATCCGCAAGCGGCGCAGTATGCGAGACAGCTGTACGTTGAGTCTTTGTATCGACTGCGGACCTCGTTGGGCAACTCCCGGGAATGTTACTCGCCCGAGGTGTTCTGTGCTGTAATGCTTCTTTGTCTGTACGAGGTGAGTTGCGTGCCATGTCTTTTCATCACAAACGACTCTAATGCACATAAGTTGTTCACCAATTTCCACGACGCAGATGCCTGGATGAAACATGCTAAAGGATTGAGCCAATTGGTGGAGCTACGAGGAGCAGCTCGCTGCACCACCGAGTTCGACCATGTGCTGCTCAAAGCTGCTCGGGGTCTGATAGTCATGTACTCTCTCTTCTCCGGGCAGCGCTGCTTTCTAGCCTTGGAAGAATGGCACACTGTGATGAAGCAGCACCCCAATTCCGGCCTGGGTGCCGATCTTGCGAACCTGGTCGAACAGTTCTTCGCGTACTTCACCTCTGCGCCCGGTCTTGTGCATCAGCTTTACGACCTCAAAGACGCAGATTTCACTAAGCCGGATACTGTCGCCAAAGCGAGTGATCTGCTCTTCCAAGCCTTGGTCATGCAGAATAAATTATCCGAATGGCTCGCCAATTTGTCTGCAGTCACGCCGTTGCCTGGTGAGACTCGATCTGCGTCAGGGGATCTGTATTATCCTACTGTGCTCGAGTACTCAGATGAGAGCGCCGCGTCTATTTTTTGCGGGTATTACTCTTACATGATAATCATACACGAGATACTGAGGGTCTGCGGTTATCCTGGTGATCACAGCGCCACCGTTGTCTATTTCCGAGACCAGATCTGCAAGTCGGTTGAGTACAATGCTCGGGGTCTGCTGGGACCATATCGCATGGGGTTTCCCTTGAGGGTGGCCTATGAAGTTGCGGATCCTGCTACGAGGGCTTGGATCGAGGGTCGTTTGGAAAGGCTCTCGAAAGTGTACGCGGCCGTGCGTCCACAGAACTTCGGATGATCACAACATAAAACCTCAACGATACATAGTTTCTGTTTATCTACCCATGGCTGACCCGAGAAACAGCCGCCCAATTTATACGCTTAGACCTCTGGGTCAGCTGGGCCTCCCTTAACAGGCCACAGGGGCTCCGCTACGGCACGAGCTAGCAGCAAGATAATGACAATGAAGACCTCCATCACCAGTCCCATGCCCACCATAACACCCTCACTGCCGTCGATGGGGCTGAATTTCCGTGGACCAAACTCCGCTAGCAGGAAGTAAACCACGCGGACCACCAGAAAAGGAAGAGCACTCAGCACTATCAACACACAGCTGTGTCCGGCTGGTGAGAGGACGGAACGATATGTCACCGCCAACCAGCTCACCAGACCACACACAAAACAGAAAGTGGCGGCAAATACGGCTCCTCCAGCATACATACAGCCAGGGATCCCGATGCACTCGCCTACCACTACCAGAACAATGGAGATTATGACCGGGAAGCGAAAGAAGTGGAGGATGAAGCGGACATGTTTGGGGAAACGGGAGTTTCCGGGGCCGGTGCGACCTGCTTGTCCACTGTAGATCGAGAGTTGCTGTCAGTCGTGTCTAGGTTCAATGGTTGGTCCTTCTCTTTTGTCTTACCTTCGCAGAAGGACGAGGCTCACCTCAAACAAGAGAGGCGAGAGCCCAATACTTTGCAGAACGGATTCTGCTATGAGCATTGACTCGTTTGGATGGCGATTGGAGATCACCATGGCCGAGTCGGCGATCCGGACTAGGTTGACGGAGGTCAGTGCATGCTATTAGTGCACTATGGTGTACATACTCTGGGATAATATGCCCAACAGCCCCCACCATGAGTACAGGAAGCACCGCGCAGGGCGTTTCTGTTTCCTATGGTGCCAGTAACGCCATTCCTGATTGTACCTCATGAGGAATTGGACCAGCTGGATGATCGAGAATAAGACAACCTCAACTATGGCGACGTATCGCTTCTCTGGAGATGTTATGGCGATGTTGGGATTATAGCCAGCCATGTTGAAGTCAACTGGGTTACAATAAACTCAGCGAAGTATACAGAATGGACGGAAATATAGAGCAGGAGACGAGGAGAAGACCAGGCGAAGACACCAAGGTGGAGTGCTCAGCCCGGTTATATATACTAACAACATCTTCAATTAGACTTTTTCTCCCTCTTTCATCGCTTCGAATTCTTTTTCTGCTCGCGTGAAAGCTCACAGGATAGCCATGGCCATCCTCCTGCCTGGTGGAGACATCGCGATGAGTGACCATTCTAGGTTTAGCGCATCTGGTGCGTTAGTAACCAATCATACGGCTCTTCCGTCCTATAGATCGCGGGCGAAGTCTCCCACCCATTCACTTAGGCTGTCTGTGCGCATCATATTCTATGGATATCAGCCGCACATTTGTACCTCAAGAGTATGTGAAGATCACGAGAGACATGGGGTTGGATCTACAGAGAATACTCAAGTGGCCTTGGACATCCCTCATCTAGCGCTGGATTCATTGTTTATAGAGGCATATACTGACGGAGGATTGCCTGATCATTTAGTACTCTCCCTTCGACTACATGAATGAGTACTGGGAGTGAAAAGCCAGGACGTATGTCCTCCACCCTAAAGGACTCTGCCATCTATAGCCCTGAGGTACCTACTACCTACCTACTAGGTACTAATCGCACGCGTCGTTGAAGTACAGCGTAACTATGATGCAATATGATTGGTTGTGCCAGCCTGACTAGCCCCTCTCTGAAAGCGGTAAGGATGGTGCCTGAGGTGTCGATTTTGCCAACCTTCCGTCCATTCTTCTCCGCAGTTCGCACTGGATTTCCAATCCATTGACTGTCTATTACCACCTCATCCAGCGTCGCTTTCGTCGGGCATTGATGTCTCTCCCCTTCTTTTAATACCACTCTCTACTCCACTTCTCAATTGATATCCCTCCCTCTAATTCCCGTCATGTTCCGCTCCGCAGCTCGGGTCGTCCTCCGCGCGCCCGCTGTCCCAGTCCGTGGCCCGGCCAGCAGACGATTGATAAGCACTTCTCCCGTTGACAAGAAGTCGAGAAGCTGGAAGGGAGGCATCGTGCGTCTGGGTCTGGCTGCTGGCGCAATCTACTACTACAACACCAGCCCTGTTTTCGCGCAAGACCCGAAATGTACGTATTGTCCGCTGTTCCGACATTTTCCTCCCGAAGCTTGGTCATCGTTCCGAGATCAGAGCTATGTCGTCACCCTGGAGAAAGACGACCAGACACCGAGAAGCGAATGAAGTTGACTGACAACCTGCATTTAGTCTCCTTCCGCTCCCAACCGCAGCCTGATGCTGTCGCCGAAGAATCTCTACCGACCCTCGACTCCGTGAAGCCTAAGATCCGTGAGCAGAAGGCTCCCACTGCCACTCCCACCCCCAACCCCACCCCCAGTATCACGCCTGCTGCGCCTCAGCCACCTTCCGAACCCACTCAGATCGACCCTGCGGAACTTGAGGAACAAGCCGGCCACGAAGCTGCTTTCAATGAGGAGACTGGCGAGATCAACTGGGACTGCCCTTGCCTCGGCGGCATGGCCCACGGACCTTGCGGAGAGGACTTCAAGGCCGCTTTTAGCTGCTTTGTCTTCTCCACCGAGGAGCCTAAGGGCATTGACTGCATTGACAAGTTCCAGTACGGAAACCTTCCGCCTGTCGGGTCCTAGAGCGCCGCTAACAGTAACCCCCCTTAGGGCTATGCAAAACTGCTTCAGACAATATCCTGAGGTCTACGGTGCCGAGCTGGAAGACGACGAGGCCCCCGCTGAGGGTCAAGTTGCCTCCGCCGCTCCTGGCGATGAGCAGCCCGTGAGCGCTGCTCAGATTGATGCTTCCTCCACCCCCGATGAGAAGCACGCCCGCGCACACGAGGTCAACGCTGAGACCAAGTCGCAGCTTGCGGAGAAGGGTGAGCTCCCCGAGAGCGACGAGCTGATTCCCAAGTCGTGGCACGACACGGAGGCCAAGAACGAGGCCCCCGAGCAGACCAAGAACTAAGCAGCTGTGTCAACGAGTCTGTTATCATACGAGATCACGAACTGAAGTTGCAGGAGTGACAAAGGCTGGGTGTGGATTGAACCGAAACCACGGAGGAGGTGTTTGCGGCAAGCGGGATCGCGCCGTATGTATCAGTATATGAATGTGTTTCTATATCTTATACCCCCACCCTCGCCTCGTTGTTTCTCGTTCTCTTCTAGCGTGCGTCGGCCTTGTCAGCCAGCCACTCAAGCCAATCCGTGCATTCGTGATTGCTTTTGGGAATGGACGTTGCAATTTCTTTGGTCATTGGTCTTTATGAACCCGCATCACGGACCATCTCCTTCTCTCCCTATATCTCCTATTTACTGTTGAGTTCCTGTATCTAAAATCACTGTACTTGTATGTTTTCTTGTGTTATGGTCATTTAGCAAGTCCGGAAGAGAGAGACGACATGGAATAGAGATAGACCAGTGATTTGTGATTATGTGATCTGGCAAAATTGGTGCTCTCTGTGTTCTATTGTTGTATACGTGCGCAGTGTTGATAGAAGGGTGCGGCTAGAGGTTGTTACACCCGACTTCGAGACTTTGGTGCCTCTGAATGCTTGATCCTCTATTCTCCTTCTGGTTGATCACTGCAGCACTAGAGCTGTTCATCATCCTCAACTAGAAATCGACCTTAAAATGAACCTACACCTACACTTCAGTCCCCAAGCCGGTAAACGGTACCGCAATACACTCCGACGGGGCACTGCTGGCACCTGCGGCATCAACTCCATCATCCCCGAAGGGGACTAGCGCGTTCCCGTCGCGTCTTCCCCCCCCACGCGTCTTGCAATATCAACTGTAGAGAGATCCACGCCCCTCATTGAATCAGATGGAGATAGCATAGCGGCGGCAGGCATCTCAAGTCCAAGTCCCACCACCGCAGTCTCTCCGACACGCCATCTTTTTCCTCTTTTCTACAACAATCCCACCAAAAAATTTTAGATGCCGACAACTTCTTCGTCCCCCTCAATCCCCCCCTCCTTCGACCCAACCATCCACCTCGACACCGACCCAGCCCTCCTCGACTTCGACCAACCCGACCAACACCCCCTCGCAAACGCAAACCCCCAATCGGAGTTGCATTCCTTCTCCGACGACCTCGAGGCCCTAGACCTCCAGCGACAGGAGCGCGCGCGCAACCGGACCGTGATCCAGCATCGCGCGTGGAATCTCTCGGATGTGTTCCGCAGTGACGAAGATCTAAGACCTGGTACATTTTCCCCCTATCATTTCTTTTGAGTCTTTGAGGCGGGACGGGGCGTTCGATACCTATCTGGGGGAGAAAGCAAAAACAGCCGGGATTGATTATTTTATGAGAGGTTACGAGCTTTTTTCGTGCCGTGAATAGACAATACCCCCACGAAAAAGCATAGAAAGCATCAACTCGATTCGCCGGTTCGTGAGTTGGCTTGGTTGCCGTCGTCGTCGCCGCCGGGTGTTTTGAGGATGCCGTTTATTTCGTCGCCTGCGCCTGTTCCTGCTGATGGTGGTGGTGGTGCGGGGGAGGCAGGTGTGTCGGAGACGCATAAGCGGAAGATTGAGGAAACGGGGAATTCTGCTGCTGCGGAGGTGGCTAAGAGGCCGAGAATGATGGGTGGGTTTTTGGACGATGAGGACGATGAGGATGAGGATGAGGATGGGATGGAGGCCTTGCGGGATATGCAGCAGATGGATGTTGGTGGAGGTGGGGTGGATGAGTGGGTTGCCCTGCCTGGGTCGGCGTCGTTGTCGAAGCGTCCGGAGCGATCGATGCAGTCGGTTACGGCTGCGGAGCCTAAGAAGCCGAAGGTCATGGGTGGGTTTCTGGATGACGACGACGATGACAACAACGACGAGGATGAGTTGGAGGCGCTGCACGATGCGCAATTCAAGAGTCAGTTCATGATGCAGGAGCAACTCATTGAGCTGCCACTCGTTGACCTGCCTGCCATTCCGAGGCCGTCGCAGATCCCCCCGCCGCCACTGCAGGAGCCGAGCAGCTCGATGCCCACGACCATGTCGCTACCCTCGCGCAGACCGACGAGGTCGATCCAGATCAAGACCTGCTCGGGCAAGACGCATCATGTTGCTCTGAAGAAGCCGGCGAGTAGGGTGTCGTATGAAAGACTCGTGGCCGGTCGTTCGACTCCAGCCCCGGGTCGGGCTCAGAAAGCTTACTATGGTATTGAGATTCATCGGCTCTTGGACGAAGCTGCGAAGGAGGAGGAAGATTGTGCTTCAAAGGTGGCGAGACCACGCCCCTCCCACACGATCCAACCGTCCATCGAGCCCGCGCTGGACGCTGGCCACAACAGCAAGGCCAGTAAGCACGCTAAGGCGATGTGGACGGAGAAGTACCGCGCACGCAAGTTCACGGAGCTGATTGGCGATGAGCGCACCCATCGACACGTCTTGCGGTGGCTGAAAGGGTGGGAGCCGATTGTCTTCCCCAACCTGGGCCGGTCGAAGGCGAAGAAACCCATGCGGAAGGACAACAACGAGGATGAGGAGCCGGCTCACCGCAAGGTCTTGCTTCTGTGCGGCCCCCCGGGACTGGGGAAGACCACCCTAGCGCATGTCTGCGCTCGACAGGCGGGCTACGAGGTCCTCGAGATCAATGCTAGTGACGACCGAAGTCGAGATGTTGTCAAGGGTCGAATCCGGGACTCCCTCGGAACGGAGAACGTCAAAGGCATGAATGTGGAGGTCGGGGAGGATAAAGTGCGCAAGGCGGGACGGCCGGTGTGCGTGGTTGTAGATGAAGTGGACGGGGTCGTGAGCGGATCTGGGGGCAGCGGTGAAGGTGGCTTCATGAAGGCCTTAATCGATCTGGTGATGCTGGATCAAAAGAACTCGGCACGGAAGGCTGAGAAGACGTCGACCACTGGCAAGAAGAAGAAGGGCGACAACTTCCGCTTTCTGCGGCCTCTCATTCTGGTCTGCAATGATGTCTATCACCCCAGTCTCCGGCCGCTGCGGACTGCTGCTATCGCTGAAATCATCCATGTGCGTCAAGCGCCAATCGAGAACGTCGTTGCGCGGATGAAGCGAGTGTTCTCCATCGAAGGCATCCCAGCAGATAACGACGGGGTCCGGCGTCTCTGTGAGGCATCCTGGGGCATTGCCCGGAGGAAGCAGATGGGCGTCAAAAGCAGCGGAACGGCTGAAGGCGACATTCGCAGTGTGCTTGTTGCAGCCGAGTGGGTGGCGCACAAGCTGCGCAGCGAGTGTCCATCCACGCTGAGGCTGACGCGCAGCTGGCTGGAGCAGAAAGTCCTCAGCGACAAGACCGGTGGCGGGACGTTCTTCAAGGGCCTGAACCGCGGTGGTGTCCGAGACCTCGTGGACCGCGTCTTCACCGAAGGCGCTGGGTTCGCCGACGCCCCCGTGGGCGCTGATACCTTCCGGGACCCCTACGACGACTCGGCCCGAGTCCCCGTCGGCGTGGCAGACCTGCGCAAGCGCCATGCCATCAACCGCCTGCGCGAGATGGTCGACGCCAGCGGCGAGCACGACCGCTGCGTGTCCGAGTGCTTCTCCTCGTACCCCTTACAGACCTATCAAGACGACACTTTTCTCTCCAAACCCAACACGGCCTACGAATGGCTGTACTTCCACGACACCATCTCCTCCAAGATCTTCTCCCACCAGGACTGGGAACTGGGCGCCTACCTCAGCCAGCCCGTCCTCGCCTTCCATCACCTCTTCGCCTCGACCTCCGGCAAAGCCAAAGCACCGACAACAACAACCTCCTCCGCGGACGCCGACAAAGACGCCGCGGAGGAAGAGCACCCATTCTCCGGGCCCCGCGCCGACTTCGCCGCCTACGAGGCCCAGAAGCAGAACCGCGCCCTGCTGACGGAGTTCCAGTCCTCCTTCTCGGCACCGTTGAGTCGACTCTTCCGATCCACGGAGTCGTTGGTGCTCGACCTCGTCCCCAACCTCATCAAGATGCTCTCGCCGGATGTGAAACCGGTCGTCGTTCGCGGCAGCGGCGAGCAGCGGAGTGTGGCCAGCGTGCGCAAGGAGAGCGAGCGCGCGCTCGTCCAGGCCGCCGTGCGCGTCATGTCCGGTCTCGGCGTGCGGTTCGAGAAGGTCCGCGTCGAGGGCGCCGGCGGTGCGCACAGTGGATGGGCCTATCGAATGGAACCGTACGTTGACCCTTCCTTTGCCCCTTTATCCCCGCCAGACGCCCCCCCCCCAACGATCCCATCAAGTTCGATAACCCAACTAACCTGCGGGAAAAAAACAGACCCCTCGACACCCTCATCACCTTCTCCCAAACCAAAACCAACACATCCACCACCACCACCACCACCACCACCACCACCACCACCGCCTCCGCCCCCGTCCGCTACGCCGTCCGCCAAGTCCTCGACCAGGAATACCGCAAAGAAACCACCCTGAAAAAGTCCACCGATGGCGGCCTCAAACTCACCAACCCCAAATCCAGCACCAACAATGGTACCCAAAAGCCCAGCCCCGACACGGCCAAGAAATCCGGCGCCGCAGTAGACGGCGTCGCAGTGAAACGCGATTTCTTTGGACGGATCATCCAGGAGCCGTCGCCGTCGGCGGCAGAGGGGGCCGAGAATGACGACGCTCATCAGAAGAATGCGGCGGCGCAGACGGAAATGTCCAAGAGCGGGAGAAGGGTGTGGGTGACGTACCATGATGGGTTTTCGAACGCGGTGCGTAAGCCGATTTCTTTGGCGGAGCTGTTGGGTGATTTGTAGATTCGCTTTCTTTGGAGAGTAATGATTGAATGAGGTTTGTGGTTCATTTATATGGTATTGCTAGGTTAGGGCTGGTGTTTAGTTTGTATGGGTTATTGGTGCGGTAAGGGATCTGGGGCGGGCGGGGGCTTTCATTGAACGAGTTTATACTTAGGTGCGAAGGTACTGTTCCACTTGTTCTGCCTTCGTGTCAATCTATTGAGAACCATAGAGTACGGTTAGATGAAGGTCTGCTGCTCCTATTGGTATATACTTCCTCCGATGCACCCATCTCATCTAAAACTTCTCATCAAGAAAAGGAAAGGATTCATAAACAAATGCCGACCCCGAATATATCTCATGGGTGGGGGGATAAAAACAAACAGAAATAATTCAAGCCATCACAAAAAGGACACCATGCAATACAAAAAACACACACAAAGAAAAAGCTAAGCCTGATTCTTCAACTTCTCCGTCAACTCGGGCACCTTCTCAAACAGATCCCCGACCAACCCCACGTCGGCGACCTGGAAGATCGGCGCGTCGGCGTCCTTGTTGATGGCGGCGATGACCTTGCTGTCCTTCATGCCGGCCAAGTGCTGGATGGCGCCCGAGATGCCCGCGCACAGGTACAGCTGCGGGGCGACGTTCTTGCCCGTCTGGCCGACCTGCAGGCTGTTGTCGGCGAAGCCGCTGTCGACGGCGGCGCGCGAGGCGCCGATGGCGGCGCCCAGGGTGTCGGCCAGGGGCACGATGACGCGGTCGAACTCCTCCTTGGACTTCAGGCCGCGGCCGCCGGAGACGACGCGCTGCGCCGTCGCCAGGTCCGGCCGCTCGGACTTGGCCAGCTCCTCCGACACCCACTCCGTCTGCAGGGGGGCCTTGGGGTCGCTGCCGGCCTCGATGGCGGCGGCGCCGCCGCTCGTCTCGACGCCCTGGAACGAGGTGCCGCGCACGGTGAGGATCTTGATCGGGTCGGTCGATTGCACGGTTAGGATGGCGTTGCCGGCGTAGATGGGGCGGACGAAGGCTATTTTTGGGGGATGATTAGTTCTTGGACGTGGGAGAGTGAGGTGAGGTGAGGTGCTTCGGGGTTTGTGGTGGTGGGTTGGGAGCTTTTTTTTTCTAAGTTGTGGCTCCGACACCGGAGATAGGATGAGGGGAAAGTTCAGAACACAAGCAAGAGAAGACGTACTATCCTCGCTCTCAATGCCAGTGATATCGGACACCTGCTGCACATCCAACAGAGCTGCCACGCGGGGCAGGAGACTCTTGCCGAAGGCCGAGTGGCCGGCAACCACGTGCGTGTATTCGCCTTTCTGGATGTTCTCGACGAGCAGAGGGGCGTAGTTCTCGGGGAGGCCCTGTTTTGTGACAGGATTAGATTAGCATGTGATCAGGTAAAAGTATCGGCGCCAGCCTTTAATTGCGGGATTGAAAAGTAGATTCCATAGCGGAGGTTGAGCTGGAGCTGGCATACCTTCTCGTAGGCCTCATTCTCCACCGCAACGACCTTGTCCAGACCCTTGATCTGGGCCGCCTCGGCCGCGGAGGTCGCCTTCACATTGGCCCCGGCCACGAAGGCAGTGATAGGGCCCCCGAGCTTTTGGGCCGCGGCGATGGCAGACAGGGAGGAGGGCTGGATCTTGCCGTCACGCTGTTCGAGCACGGCGAGGGTGGAGAGCAGGCGGGCGAAAGCGGCGGAGGAGATGGCGGTGGTAGTGCGCGTGGAGGGGAGGATCTGGGCGCGGGCGGCGCGGAGCACCGAGTTTCTTGCGAGAGGAAGCATCTTGAGGTAGGCGAAATTGATTGAGTGGGTGGGGAGGTTGAAGAGGGGAGAGCTTGGAGAGGAAAGAGGAAGAGGAAGAGGAAGAGGAAGAGGGAGGGGAAAGAAAGGTGGGGAATGGATGGGTGGAAGTCTTTCAGGTGAAATTGAAGGTTATCGTCGGATTGACTGGCTTGACCGCCCGCTCGGCCAGTCAGTCACAATCGCCGAACCCGCCGGCGGCCAAATCACCCGACGGACGGCTGGTTCGGTTACTCCAGCTTTGGCTGTGCCAGGCAGAATATCCTCGGTACAATGTCAATCATATGTCATAATTCAGTTGACTCCGTAAGATGTACAGAACTTTTGCTGTTTATTCTTCTTATTCGTCCAAGGGGTATTGAGGTACACGCCCTGATATGATAGGAAAAAAAATAAAACTCTAAATCTAGAGATGGAGGAAGATTGAAGACAAAGCGAAACAGAAAAACAGCGCCGGTAGACAAGAACAACCCATTGCTTATTCAGATACAAATCCGTGGAAATCAAAACAACACCGGAGGTATAGACTTGATTGAGTGAGAGTTCGAAGCGTAGGACAATTATGAGGTCGACTTTCTCTTCTTCTTACCAGCGCCAGCCTCGGCTTTCGTAGGCGCCGCGCCATCTTCCAGCGCCTTAGCCTTCTGCTTCTGGAGCTTCTCTTTCCTCGCCGCCAGCGTCACGGCATCCTCATCGTCCTCAGCGGCGGCCTTGGCCTTCTTGGCCTTCTTGGGGGCCTCGATCTGCTGCTGCTTCTCCTCGTCGCCCGCGCTGATCTGCTTGCGCTTCTTGCCGCCGGCAACGGTCTTGGCCACCTCCTCAGTACCCTCCTCGACCACGTCATCGTCCTCAAGCCACAGCTCGCTGGCCAGCCAGATGGGCATGGCCATGGTGTTGGCGCCCTTGATGTGGATCGCCTTGAGGTTGCGCCATCCCTTCGTCACGTACTTCTCCGTCAGGCCCGTGACGACCGCGTCGATGTTCTCGGCGAGCTGCTCGGCGGTGAAGTTGGACGCACCGACGCGAATGGCGGCCGTGGTCGCCGGGGCGAGCTGCACGGGGGCGCAGTGCAGCGCGCGCTCGATCTCCCGGGCGACGATCTCGGGGGCGGCGAAGGCGCTGCCTTCGTCCTTGCTCTTCTTCGCCTTGGCGTCCTTCTTGACCCGCTTGCCGTCGACCTTCTCGATCGCGGCGATGCGGACGGGGATGGGCCGCTTGCTGGACTTGTAGAAGGTCTTGCCGAGGGTCTGGACCAGGCGCATGATGATGCGGTCGTCGGCCAGGAAGACGTCGTGCTCCGCGAGTAGCTGGCGGCATTTCTCGAAGCTGTCGTAGCGGGCCTTCAGCTTGTTGTATCCGATGACCTTGTCGATGCTGTTGGTCAGGTGCGCGGGGAAGGACGGGTCGGCGACGATGTTCTTGACCGCGCGCTGCGGGTCCGCGGTGATCAGGCAGACGCTGAGCGAGGACTTGGTGTTGAGCGAGTGGGGGATCGGGATCTTGCCGGGCTTCAGGCGGTTCTTGTCGACCACGTGCTTCTTGGTCGTGAGGACGAGCCACACGGCCTCGTTCTTGACCGTCTGCTCGCCATCGGAGTCCTCGTCGTTGTCGCCGATCAGCGTCTTCTTGGTCGCATTCTTCTCCTTCTCCGCCTGCGTGGTCTTGATGTGGCGCAGGAGTGCTTCGGATGCTCGCGAGACCTGTTACGAATGCTCATCGTTAGCGGGTTATTGAAGTTTCCCTCCGCTGTATGTGAGGTGTCTCGACAGCGCATGAGCTGTGTTACGTACCTGGCTCTTATCGAGCTGGTAGGGAGTGCCGGAGGTCGCCTTAGTCGTCAAAGCCGTGGAAGACCCCATTTTTGCGGTGATGATATGGAAAATATTGCAAGAATCTGATAGGGCTCGACTTCCGCGATAGTCTAATGATAAAAAAAAATTCATGGGAAGGCGGTAGCCACTTTATTGCCGGTCTTGGCGGTGGGCGAGCACGCTTAGTCAGACACCATTGCTCCCCTGGTCATGTGACTTGGTATATGCTCGTGGAAATCACATGAGCAGAGGTTTGTCTTTTCTCGTCTGGGACTACAGGCGCGATTACAATCGCATGTCAGGAATCTTGTTAAAATGCAAGTGAGTCACATGTGAGCAGTGCAACGACGCGAGTGCTGGCTGTCTCCGGATGCTTTGCTCCCCCCTCAACCGTCCGTGACACAGTGGGATGATGAAGAGACGGTCTGTAGGATGAGCTAGGCGACCCAGTCCAGTCATTTATGATTATCTACATGGGATCGAGTTGATGGCTTACACAGGGGCGTGGCTCTGAGCTATTGGGTCTTTCGACTCCAAGTCAATGCCCACTTGCCTTGTTCACGGCCACGAGGTGAAGAGTCCCATTCCCCGAAGACCACGCAGGCCACGGGTGATGGAAACGTGATGTTTCACGGGCTTCTCTTCACGATGTGCGCCCAGTCCCTTGCATGTTTCATCCTAGGAGTATTGTCAAGGGTTTCCGGATTTGCGCGTCCTCCACCCACGCACCAGCCAGGGATGGATAATCGCTCTTGTTCATTAGAAACTGCGCACAAGACAAGCAATTAGCTGTGGGACTACTGAGTCTCGGGGACTGAAAGTCTATCCAGAGCCAAGATGATGCTTCGGTAATTAAAATCTTGGAAACGGTTTCTCAAGAAGGTCTCGAATAGATACTCGACTGGTTTCACTATCACCAGAAATTGAATTGGTCAGAGCCAGCGATTTTGCATCGCCCATGACCGTAACGAAGGATGCCTGGTCAGCGAAAGAGACAACTGTAAAGGCAGGTCAGTTAGCGGTGAGGGAAAGACAACCGGGACGAATGATGCCATATGCTGGATATTGGTTTAATAAACGACGAATAGGCCCAGACAGTCTTGGGCAATCGAATACTATGAGCAAATAGTCAGTAGTTATATTGGCAGGTAAGTCAACCCATGCGCATTGACCATGTGGATTATTGCAGCGAGAGGGAAACAGGGACTGGCCTCGAGTATTTCTTCAACCTGCAGAGAGTTCTTGTTCACGCAAGAAGAAGAAAAAAAAAAGGAGGCATAACATTCCGCTTGGCAATGGACCAGAACCGAGCACAAGCCACATGACCGACCGACCCTCTTTTCGAATATGTCTGGCCATTGGTTCGGTTGGTGTAGCTGATAGTAACCTATAAGTTAATATCCTAGTGGTTAGGGGATTGAATGTCCATTTCCCGTCCTCTACTCCGTATTTGATCCGATTACTAACTACGGAGACTACAGCCATCTTGGATACGCACTGGCAGGCTACGGTCGTAACAATGGGATAGCGTTGCTTGACAGTGCTCATCGTTCGTCCGGTTGGTCGCCCGCCCAATTCTCCGGTTGGGGCCAACGCAAAATGCGTTAAAACGGAGCAGTCGACTTGTCGCCGGCACATGAGACAGTTGGTGGAACAACAGAGAGAAGCTTGTGAGGTAGATAGGAGAGGGGTCGGTGATTCAGGCACAGATAGACGATGATAGGACCAAACCGATGTCATCGGTGCCTGAAACAATAATGCGTGATGCTACCGCGGATTAAGATTTTCCCTTCGGGTCTCGGGTGCCGCTCCAACAACTATGACCGTCTGTTTACATCCATCCTCAAAGCAACCTGATTCGAATGATAGGTGAGTTTGAGCTTAAACTTCAATGCTTCAATGCTAGTGCTCCCTTCGAATACTTCGATAGGCTGAGAGCATGGGCAGTCATTTCCCGTACCACACACCGATGGTCAAGTCCACGTCAATAGCTGAGTCGTTCGGGGGGATTAGCTTACTTTCCGAGGTCTAATAGTCTGTCTGCCTTGGACAAGAGGGCAACGGCGACTATTTAGTTATGGGGGTTAGATTATTGAATCAACAATGAGTTCAACAGGCCTTTAGTCTAGTAGTAAAGTAGCAACTAGCTCAGACATGGCACGAGAGACCGAGCATGCGTGGAAATAACTCCCACGCCTGTGCCCCTCACAATATACCCGGTTAGGCGTAGTGTGACCCCATCCTTCAACTTAGGTTTGTTTTAGCGCTCCCTGCAGCCCGGTTAGTGCGTTGGTTTGAAGTAAGGTACGGTTGCTGTATCTGGGAGATTGGTCCCCGCCGGTGGAAAATCAAGCTAACCAAGTCTCGGTTGGATGCTTTTCTTTCAGTCTTCCCCCCCCCCCCCCCTCGTCTCCACTCACCTCGGGGTTTTTATCTCCCCCCTATACCTTAGTAGCCTTCTGGCCCTGCTCTCTGGCCAAAGACAATTTGGTAGGCTGTTCATCATCCAACACGAACTCAACTGCCAACACCCTCTCTCCACCCAAACTATTGACTTTATCGGCTCCAACCCTCCGTAAATTGAGCGGAGAACGGGCAGGCCGAGGAGAATATGGGGAATAAGCAACCACGCGGTCATGCTCTGCAGACTGCTTGGCATCAGACAACCCACGTCAAATTCCCGGTGAAGCCACGCAAGCCCATAGGTTGCTATCAGCGAGTGCCCCTGGGGAGACAGAACTCCGTGGTAACCGGCACATTATACTCCATGTATAGCCCCTAACGAGTCAGCCTGGATGTAGTCTCCGGTTGCCAAGCTTTAGGCTAAGGCGCGATGCGGGAGTCCTCTTCCTGGCAGGAATCTGTAGGACACGGGGACGATGTTGTCGACGAAGGGGGGAAAAGATTGTGTCAAAAGTCATCCTCCTTTAACATACGGCGAACTGTAACTATTATGCTATGTTGGTTGTGTTTGATGAACGTGTTCAGGGTCCAGCTAGATATTGTGCAACTCCCCAGCGATCTCGTCAGCTTGGACCCCTAATGCGTGGTAGCCGGGGTGTTGTTGTGTTGTGAGGACGGCTTTGGGGGCAAAGGGGCTGAAAAAGAGGCTGCCCTGGTCGTATTGTTAAACTCAAACAGCGGGCCAGGTTTGATAGGCGAGTCGCATCGTGCTTTGCTGGCTCGGGAGCTTGCGCGTTTTCCTGGATATGAAATCTGCCTTGTTATGCAGGTACTGTGCAGGGATGAGCCATCCGTAAGATGTATGCAGATAGCAGTGATGTACAGCATTGGTACAGCTGGTATGGCTTAAGCAGTGACTTCTCATTTGCTCAGCATAGAGACTCTTACAATGTTTGTATCTTTCGTGTGCTGGTGTGTATAAGACCCGCCCTTGTCGAGCGGAAGAGCTTACCGCCGGGATATATCTTCTGATAAGCTTCTATTAAGTAGACAAGATAAAGCTTTTAAGCCAAGTAATCTGGTCACTGTTGAGAACATGCTTGGTACATTTGCAAGCAGTCGAGTCTGTAATGAAGATCAATATAAGCATGGGTCTGATGTTGTCCGTCTTCCTGTGGTCAGAAGCCTGAACAAGAAATGGCAGCCTTTGTATTACCGGGCTACCCCGCACTTGTAATGAGCATCTCGATCCAATATCAGTTGACAACAGTGAAGAAGATCACAACAGCCAGATGAGATAAACATGTCACACTTACTGGCACTCTTTTCTTGTAAGCTTATTATGATGATCAAGATCGGCAAATTAGGTTATTGCCTGGTGGACCAACATTAAGTATCACCGGTCGGGTTTGGCTCAGATGGCCACCTACTGCTCTAAGCGCATCAGAGGATGTTACAGAATCTAGAATCCCATGACAAGGAATGCGTATCTGAATGATGAGTATAGGAAATGGCTTGCTATAATTGCGCGCCCGGCAACTGCACGTCTATTGATCACGGTAGACTGTAAAGGCGTATGGAATGTAGTTCTAGCGTCAAGATTGTCTCCAGAGCAGCCGATGGATCTCCCATTACCTAGCAAATGTAGGCCAGCAGCCTCTCAGGCTACATATGCATCAAGGGAGATCTGACATCGTCGCTTATCATTGTCGTGCCAGACCTGAGGCGCAGACCAGGCGCCCTGATGACAGGTAGTAGCGTCAAGCTATATTTATTTAGAGTAGCAATGGACCTGCATTTGAATACGGCAGTATAACCAGGCAAGCACCCGAAACTGTGATCGAGATACTGCCTACGCCAACAGACTTGCAATCATCTCATAAGTACGGAGAGAGAGCAATCTGTCTCCCTTGCCGAGTCGCATGAAGCTGCCCCTGAATATACCTACTCGTCATCATCGAGGACATCAACAATGTCTTAGAGCAATGCCGTGAGGTATAATTGATATCTACTATAGATGGGGAATTATACTTATTTTCAGCCACCTGGTGTGTTGACGATCTTAACGTATGACATGTAAAGTGCCTCGGATCGGTCGCCAGGGATCCTGATCATCTCACTTGCAGGGTGTTTAACAACGGCTGCAGGGGTTCCGCAGATAGGCTGGAGGCTATAATACCGAGCATAAGGGCTTAAGGGTCGGCTTGCGAAAGGGTTAAAAATATCAGAGGGCCCCTATTCGGCCAGACTCGCGCACTGTGCAGATCCATCCAGTAGGTGGTTTAAACTTGCTTGGCTCTGAAAGAGTTGAGAGTACGAAGGTGGTCATGGGTAATGGCGTTACAGAACAAATACTGAAGGTTGGGGTTTGCCGAAGGCTGAAACAGCTGAAGATCCAGAATACTGGAGAGGGGTTACATCACTACCCGAAGCGCTTTGCGCCTGCCAACTATGAGAAGGATTCGATGAGATGGACCCTGGCTAGTACAGTACAATGAACAACAACCTAAGAACAACACATAAGGCAGGCAGTGCAACTGTTTGTTGATGTTGATTTTGTTGTTGTCCGGGATGTCTGACTTGCTGAATAACACTTCCTTGATCTTCCCTTTCAGTTTTCCTGCCGCCAGGCCGACTGCGCCCACTAATGCAGGCCAACATTAAGATCGGACATGAGACATTGCCATGGTAGGCCGATTTGTGGCCATGGTTCGGCAGCGCCTCAGCCGGTGATTGGTGTGCCTGAATGGGGACAAAGTCTGATTTCCACCGGCTGAGGGCCGAATCTCACCCTCAATTGGCTGGGAGGTTTAATTAATTTCGGTAACCGCCAAGCAAAAGCGTGTCAGGAACAGGAAAGCTCCAAACATGCTGCTGGCGGTGGAAGAAAAATAGGCAAGGATTTAATGCCCGGCCTGCGAATCCTCCCCAAGTTCGGTTACTCAACACTGTTGGATTTGTTCCAGACAGTCACCCCGAGTCTTGGCTCTCTCTCTTCAAAGGTAGAGAAACAGAAGAGAAACACATTGGCTGGGCTGTGAGTGTTATTCTAGTATGGAACCTGGCCCCTCTCCCCAAATCCCCACTTCCTGGCTTCACGTTGCCTTGTGGGTGGTCTTTCTTTGAGCGAGCTGATCCTGGCGGACTTGGCTTGGGGGGAGGGGCAAGGAGAGTTTTCTATCAACCGCCCCCTATTTGTTGTCTGAAGGCAATTCAAGGTGTAGAATGTCAAATTCTTGTGGGATCTCTGGGGGTCTCCGGTCTCCTGTCATCAGGGGGAAGGCACATACCGGAATGTGCCTCATACATTCTTGAGATCTCTGTCCACCTTATCTAAACGACTTTTTTTTATCAAGATGAAGTATAGGGACTGTACCTCTGATCATACTAAGTAACATGATAGCCAGAGATCACAATCAAATTGAATACAGTCCAAATACTGGAAATGTAATATCCGAGTACTGAATCATG